TTCCTACTTCAAAAAGCTAAATTATTATACTTTTTTATCTCCATTGTCAACTTAACGTTACAATCACTCTGGTTAATTAGCAACAATAAATTATTTGAACTATTCTTTTCATGCCATATATCTAACTAACAGTTTTGGAATCAATCTTACTTCCTCCATGAGGTGTTTCCCCATCCTTAACGTGTGATTTTTCGCTAAAATAGGAGCCAAACAATATCAAACAATATCACACTTGTTCATAATTCTTACCATTAAAGGTGAAGAATGTGCTACTCATGAATAGTTTAAGTAGCCTTAAGATTGAGCTACTGTTTAGTTTTTCTACTTTAATAATGTATGTTTGTCCATTAAGGCTGAGTGCTAGTGCTTCAATAGCCTTCTGAACTGGGATTTTATTTTACATTGATACCAAATTGAAGCTAACCAAAAGGTCCTTATCCCCAATACTATGTTGACCCATCAATCTACCCAATTCATACGAATACATTACTTAATATTGCCAAAACGGAGCCACTCACCTTAAGAATGGTGAAATCCTATGCATCACATTTTTCTCATTGTTAAAAAACAGTCCTAAAGGAGCTCCTAACTTGTGTGTCTTTGGAAGGCAGTAAGCTGAAGCTGCTCTTTGGAGAAGTGAATTCATTTTACACCTCTCAGTTTATCCTTTGCTAACACAAGCGCTGAGCGTTTACCTAAGTCTGGCCCATAGGACTAAAAGTTAGTATTTTTTGAGCTTACTTCCATTTCGAGTGAACATGTTGGGTGAAGAGATTCGAAGGTCGGTTCCACCAGAAGACAACGGCGGATTCCTCTTGACCAGCTGTCGATTGGCTTTACCGGAAGATTCATGCTGACGCTGTTTCCGAGGCAATCTCCTTCGATTTCGGTGAAAAGGTGCAAATCTTTCGTCCGTCCTATGACGAACATCATCAGAGCAAGGTTTCATCGTCACAACAAAATTCAAGCTAACGAGTCAAGAAAACTCTTCACGCAACACTTTCACTCAAAATAAAAGTAAGCTCAACAAGTATGAAATAAGAGATTTCTCGAAATCCAACTTTTCTTCGCATAAATGTTAGTACGTTTTCGAGCCATTTAAATGAATTAGCATTTTTGTGTATAAATTTAGCTGTGTATGATGACCACTGCACCATCTTTATCTGGCTTCATAACAACCAGATAATTTTTTTTGCAAATATCTAGAAATTTATAATAATTAATCGGTAAATAAAAAGAATCACTTTTATATGCTATTCTTATCCTCTTCTTGTAGCTTGTCTTTTAGGTAAATTACTTCAACTAGTATCTCAATAGAACGATTCAGATCATTTGGAAAGGCAAATTTTAGACCTCCTTCCAAAAGGAGCTTAATATTCTCATGAATAGATATACTGGACAAATGAATGATTTAATTTTTGATAAATCAAATAGCATTATCGGAACGCACCTAGTCTGGGGTCAATTGTCTGCATGATCATTTCCAAAGTTGAACCGTGGACGTGGTACATTCCAAAACTCCGGACGAGGTGCCTCTAAGTCTTCCTACCAATATGACCATGTTGCGAAAACAAGGTCAAACAACCTCTATACAACGAAAGG